CAGTATCCCTCCTTCAGCTCCCTCAAGCTCCCTCACATGGACAAAATAATCCCCCCTCCCACTTCCAAAAGACGGCAAACCCATAGGGGTACACTTGGTTATATCCAGATATATATATAATTTTTAACTGATTATCTTCAGTCATTACAAGGAGAGCTATAGTTCTGCAGGGGGAAATGAATCTTGTTTGTTTGTTTCGGGCGTCAGGCGGTGGTGGCAGCCGGAAAAGGGGGAGTTTGCCAGAAGCACCAGGAGCCGCTGAAGCTCTTCTGCAAGGACGACGAAGCCCTCATCTGTGTGGTCTGCGATCGATCCAAGGAGCACAGGGATCACGAAACCCTTCCTCTCGAGGAGGCCTCCGAAGAGTACAAGGTAGGCAGTCAACAGTGTGGAGGGTGGTGAGGAAGAGCCCTGGATCCTCCCCTTCGTCTTCTTGGTTTCTTTGCTGTCTCATTCCCGGCTAGGTGGCTCCCTTGGGCACTGCCTCCTTTCCCCCCTGCTGAGGCTAAAGTGGGGTGATAGGGGGAGATGGACTCCCTTCCTCTCTGGCTGTGTGAACATCTGACCAGCTTCTGGCAGGGCCGAGCTAGGAGGGGGCAGCTGCCTGACTCCCAGTTTTAACACCGCCCCACACACATGCTGGTTTCCCAATTTCAGTTGCTGTCCTTGAGCTGCTGTTTGCCTCGGGGCTGGGGGGGAAATGTGTGCAGATTTGCTGCCTGTCTGTGTGTGTCCCCCACCCCCGTCCCACGCAGCAGCTGTGAGTGCCTGTCTGTGTGTGTCCCCCCCCCCCGTCCCACACAGCAGCTGTGAGGTAGCAGTTTAAAGCAGAAGAACAGCATTTTGGGGAGGGGGGGAGCTACACAGGAAGTGGCCTCATTCTGAGTCAGACCCTTGGTGTGTCCAGGTCCACTCTGACTGGCAGCGGCTCTCCAGGGACTCAGGTGGAGGTCTTTTTCACATCAACTGCTACATATTCATTTCAACAGGAAATGCCGGGCCTTGAACTCAGGACCTTCTGTTTGCCAAACAGATGCTCTTATCAGAGCCACAGCCCTTCCGCTGCACTATGGAAGGGAGGAATCCCCTTCTACCCACAACTGTAGTTGCTTCCACACAGAGCTTTCCCTTTTTTGATACGTTCTTTCTTGGAAAATCGTCAAAGAGGGTTTGGGAAAAGGTGGACCAGAAAGTATGCATTTCCACCCACCACCCCAATCCAGTGCTGTTTAACCTCCCACCTAGCATTCTTCCCCGCTCTCCCATGAGCTTTTTGCTGCTTTTTAAAAATGGTATATTTCTGTAGTGTTAACATAGTGATATACTGACTATTGTATTGATATATATTTTTAATGCAAAACCTCCCTCCTGCGGCAGGGGTGGAACGGTGGGCAAAGCGTGGAGTCAGACTCCCCTGAGGAAGCAGTGTGGCCACTGGAAACATTTCTGCATTGAAGTGGGGCACCCTTCCCATGAGGAAGGTCGCTGTGTTTAGCATTTGGGAAATGTTGTTGAAGGTCCCCTTACGGACATGGGGCAGCTAGATCTAGTTTGGTCCTTAATGGCAGTTTTGCTTCTCGTGTGTTTTATAATAAACTCCTAAAATGGAAAACAAATCTCAGTTTTGGGTTGCCCCCCCCTCTCCTGTTCCCCCAGGATCAGTTCTGCAGCCGTCTGGAGATTCTGAAGAAGGAGAGAGAAAGAATTGTGGCATCTAGAGAAGATGTAGAGAAGGAAAGCCAAGACCTGCTCGTAAGTGTCACCCTGGCTGGGAAGTGGAGAGATTCCGGAACTAGTATGGGGGGAAAACAAAGTCCAAATAGCAGAAGAATCAAGACACGTGAGAGACTCGCCCCTTCCAAATTGCACATTCCTTCACAGATGGTCAGCATTCAGCAGATCAGGCCCCCAAAGCTGAACTTAACGTTGCAGTTCTAAGCAGAGTTGTACCTGGGCTGGGAGTGCCACGGAACTGCACACTCTTGGTGCCCCTGGGGCTCCCTGCCCTCCGGCACCCATAGGTAATTACTTAGGGCCACCTAGTGAGCAGTCTGCCCCTGGTTGTTCAGCCTCCCTGAGCCAGCTTTGGTGGGGAGAGCGGGGTATTATATATTTCTGATTGTGTTTATGTGAAAATAATTATTAACCATCTTGCCACATATGTATGACCTCTGAAGAAGGCCTATTTGGCTGAAACGCGTAAGGTCAACTTTGTAAGCCCTGGATATTGTTATATTTTATATACATTGGTTGTAAATGGGCCTCTATATATGTTTTAAAATTTGTTATTATTAATAAATACATGTACCTTTTTATTTTTTATGGAAAGGTTTTAATATTGGCCCTCCTTTTCACTAACCTTTGTTTGGTTTTGGAGTTTATTGTTAGGTTCAGTGTTTTTCCCCCCTTGGTTTCTGCTTGTTCAGCATTTGCTTCTTCTAAGGGGGGAGAAAGAACTTGGGATACTCAGTGGCATCAGTTTTTTTCACTTAAAGTTTTTTTCTTGCCCAAAATGCAGCCAAGGAAACTGCAGTTTAGAGAGGGCGACCAAGTGAGGAGAACGGGCTTCTGAGCTCTTTTGTCCCCAGTGGTCTTTCTACTCAACCGTCGTATCTTGTCTCCTGTTAGAAGTTTGGGGGTCATCATGTGGAGGGTGTTTTAGTGGGGAAACTAATGGACTGAAGAAGCCCCTTCTACTCTCTGGGTCTTCTGCTGCAGACTTAATCCTCTGTGGCTGAAATAACCCATCCCAAAGTTTGAGTGAGATTCATGTGTTGTCAGGAAGGCACTGTCAACCCCCTCCTGACTACGCAGGAAAACACCCACTTAATGGTCGACAAGGTCAAGGAACAGGTCCTAGACCTTTTCCCCGGGGGTCCCGGGGTCATGGCCCACTTCCTACAAAGAGGGGACAACCCTAATAAGGGAGGGGGGTGAGGTCGCAGAACCACCTGGGCGGGACGTCAGGGTCCCGACCGTTGGAAGTATGGTTGGAGGGGAAAACATGGAGACCAAGGTTCCTTGGAGTCCCGGCTGGTGGCTAGGTTACTTTAAGAAGTGGGTGGTGGGCGAAACAGGTGAGACAGTTGAACCGACAGGTGATGCTGAGGAGGAGAAGGAGTAAGTTCACGAGTTGACAGAGAGGAGGGAGACTTATCCACTCGTACTCGTCTAAGTGAACTTACTTGGTTGTCACAAGTGGAGAGAGCTTGAAAGCCAACATTTCTGAGGCAAAAGAACCTTAGGCCACAAAGGATTCAACAACTCATCCTGGATTCGAGCCACGACCGCTTCCCCCCCATCCCGACTCTTAATCCTGACATGTGTAAATTGGTCCTTAAGGATGGGTCCTCGGGGAACTTTTCTCTTTCCTGTGTTCACTGTGATCTCTGTGAAAGGCCAGAGTGCCCTTCCGATAGGGGGGTCTCCTATGGTGCCTCTTCCCACTACAGAGACCGGCTGTGTTCCTGACCTTGGTCTGCTTTTCTTCTCTTCCCCTCTCAGAAGCAAACCACAGGAGAGAAGCAAAAGACTGTAGCCAAGTTCAGGCAACTGCACACATTTCTGGAGGAACAAGAGAAACTTCTGCTGGCCCAGATGGAAGAGGTGGAGAAGGAGGTGGCAAGAAACAGGGACCAACGCCTGGCCAGACTCTCTGAGGAACTCTCCTCTCCAAGGGCGTAGACTTTCCAATTTCCCGGGGGGGGCTGGGGCTGGGCCAGAGGCATTGCTAAGTCATTAAAAGAACTGGGACCCAATGACATCATACGGAGGAGCTAGTGATATCACAGGCATGGTTACTATCTATGGAG